ATCTCTTGTTTTATCGCAATGAGACGCGAAACATTACGAAATCATGCAATGAACCGCCTATGAATCGATCACTATCCATATGGTTTCATCATTGAACCTAACCAAGATGGGTTGCCAAATAGCCAGTCGAACCCTTTGAGTACAGAAACTCCGACCAATTCGTAGAAAATGAGAGTTCAAAATGCCGTTTAGCAATGGCCTTCACATGACAATATCAGCTATACAGAGCGAAATTAAATCATGATTTCATCCTATCACATGAACACATCGCACCTTTTTCTGCGTAACATTTTTGCTCAATCCCAACGCATCATCTGACATTATCAATAGAAAATACATCGGTTTAATCACAGTGTTGTAAATATTCCACAGCGGTTATAAACTAATTTATTGTGATAAAATTCGTCTCCAACGATGCGTCATCGCAATATTTTGTATTTGCAAAATATGAAACAATATTGAAATTTCATAGCGCTGTCTAATAGTCAAACATATTTCATAACAAAATGATTGTGAATCACTACATATTATGGATGATTTGATAGCACTGAGCCGTCATGAAAAATAAGTGTCTTATCTGGTGCCGACTACATACTTAACGTGCTGCTTAGCCTCTTCTTATGACTCGTCAGGATTAACTTCGGCAGAAATTTGTGGCACACAGGACGTTGACAAACTATGACGATCACATTACGCTAGTGTTTCTAACGAACTTTTGTTCATTTGCAGATTAAACAGGAGGTACTGAATTGTTTTCGTAATCGAAATGCGGTGAAGTCGACTGGCACTGAACGATGCTCACCACACGTTTCCAATAGCCGAAAATCAACTGAAGGAAGTTACATTGAACGCGAACAAACGGACATGAGGTGTGCCACCTGAATGACCATCAAAATGGCAAGACGTAACTAAACGAAATGAACTAAGAAGAGCAGAGTGGAAAATGACCGAACGAACGATTGTAAGAAGAAAGATTTGCAGCAATCGTATCGAATACGAAGACATTTTGAGCTTTCGGCATAATTCAGCAGCCTCACCGTTTTGTTGTTCGGTTCTCTATAGTCAATTGTTAACTGAGATTCTGAATGGAGTTGATTTGAGTTGGCGACAAATTTCGATCTGCGCGTTTAAATGTATTCTGCCGCAGCAATTGTGAGCTCTTTGCTAATATTTTGGCCTGATTCAGGTTAATGAATAAAGTAGTCTCAAGCGAACCTGTTCTATTCATTAAGATTCTTTGAACGAGTAAATGAAAGGAAAAGGGTTCTATTCTTCTTGGAAAATGTCAGAAAAATGAGGATTGCTGACGCATTTAAACATGAAAACGAATTTAAACATGCAGTACTTTTGCGTGAATCGTCTTCGATACTCAGCTCTCGTATGTAACGAAGAAACGGTGCGTTCTGATATAAGTGATCTCATAAATGAATTATTTTTTGTACGAATGATTAATGTCTTTCAGTGTATATCACCAAAAAATGATTTGAAATCAGAATCATTCCATAATTTTTGAATGTGCACATAAAATTCATATTATCTAATATAATCAAGTGGTTGGTTCATCTGCCTGCTCGTGTCATGACAGGGTGCGATAAGAGCGCTCACGTGACTCTAATCATCAGTGCGATAACGAAAAAGGTTCTCTTCACAACAGTGTTTGAATGATAGCCGTACGATGATATCGTATTGCAGCCACTTTTTCAGTTTTCAGATTCATCATTTTTTAGTGCCCATAATAAACCTATGCACAGTAACATTATTAGCAATCTAAAAAAGGGCACGACAGATAGCGAAAGGAGTCGTGAATGCCTTAGTTTTTAGTCCTTATCATAGATGAAAGTGCAATTCATGCTGTTGACTGCGTTGGATGAGTGTTTTTTTTTTCTGACAATGAGTACTGGTACCTTGACCAGTATCACCTATGTGGCTGATGAATTCATGCAGTAGAGGTTCTCAGAGATCACTCGTTATGAGGCATGCATAATAAGTGAATGATCTCAATCGCAATGTTTTCCGATTAAAATGGCAATGAGAATTAACCTCACGAAGAATTCATTTTGGAATGAAATCTTCATGTATGTTTAATGCGTTCACTATGAGGGCTAAGCATGGAGCAAGGCTCAGCCTAAACCTGAGCAAGGCCTAAACCCAAGTGACTAGCCCGGAGTAGCCCTCAGCTTATTGTTAGGTGTAACCTCATGATTAACCTGACCTCAAATTAAGGTATATCAATGCACTTGATCTTTTTGAACATTGTTTTCACCTCAAGCAGAAGGATTGGCTGGAATTGTCAATTTCTGAGAATGTTCGAAATCAGCATAAGTTAACCAAAAGTATAGATTTATATGAGCACTAACGATAAGCATAACCCTCGTGCAGTGGGCTAAATGGAGATATGCCTTAATTTGCTGCTGTCGAAAAACAAGCGGTGAAGCATAGCGGTGGGGTGAAACGTTCTGATCCAGTTCAAACACATGGCACGTGAAATTTAACTTTTTCGTTTACGATTACCTTTACTTTTACGAATGCAACTCTACTTTTGTCTATTAAACCATAAAAACCCTTATCATCCTGAATAACGACTGCAGCTGAGCGCTTCAAACTGCTGTATCATTCAAATTGCTATCATATCGGTTTGCACTACAAAAATATTTCACTTCTGAGTTCACTCTAATGCTGATAATATCGCATATCACTGATTAAACACTCTTATCAATAGTCTATTCATCGGTGATGAGTTAATATTTTCTTGCTCTTAGACGCCAAGGTATTCGACAGAGCGATGAAAATTTTTTTTNTTTTTTTTAACTCTCCATAAATTGCTCACCGCTAAAGACGTCTCGCAATTTGCTCACTATTAAGATGTTACGATCGACGAATGAATCAGTCCGTAAAAATGTAGTGTTGCTAATTGGTAGCAACAGTTGCTTCTTTTTGAAGCTGTTTTCTATCGTATTATCTAAACCAAACATAATTCCCATTTTTTGATTTCTCAATTTTCTCGGATTTCTTTTTTAAAAAAAAAACATATTTATTCGTAACATCAGTTTCTCTACTCATGCATTTCATGCAATTCGAAGCTAGCGCGCAATTAGAAACTACAAAATTTAGATCTCACCAGTTTGTCGGCTCATCCTTGTAGTCTGCATTACTCGTCTACATTAGCTGTACATCGTTATTGAGGATAGTTGTGTTCGTTGTAAAGTTACGTTTTCAAGCGTTAGGCGTGTCGAAATTGAACGGTGCATGAAATGACGAATCTTCACGACGACGAAATCGATCAATGTACTTCTAAAGAACCCGAAGAGGCCGTGCCTGAAGATAAGCACTCGAAAGCACTGAAAAAGAAAGGTGGCCGACCCAGAAAAGAGGATCTGATGCAGGTTCGACACTCGAAACTCGTTTATGGTGAAATTCCAGTTTGTTTTGTGAAGTTTCTAACTTTCTCGCTTTATTCTGATCGATCGAGCAAGATCAACAATTTCATTCACGAAATCAATCGAACAGACCATTTTGCTCCTTCATCAGTAAATAAGATAAGCATCTTTAGAAGCTCACTATATTTGTATTCCAAGACGTTCACCATTCACATCATATGAAAGTGCGCTCGTTTGCAATAGTATAGTACTGGATATTTTGATGAAGAGAAATTACCAGTTTACGAAAACCAATCCAATTGAGAACAATTAAGTCATCATGATCGAGATTGCAAAGCGATTGTGAGCGTACAGTTAGCTACCGAATTTTTGGTATTGTTTATAGCAATTTATAAGAATAAAGTAAAGAATATTTTGTTGCGAGACAGCGCATCATTAATGCTTACTATTCCATGCATTCATTGAATAATATTCAGGATGACAGTGAAGAGCTGAGCTTGGAGGCGAAACTAAAACGCGATAAACGACGGAGGGATAATCTGCTTGCAGCGGCACGATATCGACACAAGAAAGACGAACGAATCAACGAGTTACGAAAAGGGAATGAACAATTGACTCGAGTAAGCCAGACACAGTGCTATAACAATCACTTCGGTATTTCAGTAGTCCATGTAGCAGAATAGTTCTCCAACTGCGCGGGTTCAGTTCCCTTTAACGACAAACGGTTCTATGCAAACTGCGGATGAATTTATTGGATGGAATTTGAGTTGATTGCAAGTCACAGGAAATTTCAATTTGCACTCGAAACAATTGTAGTCATTAACAGTGTTTTGCGACCTTTAGATGTTTGTCGCGTTGACAGCAGCGATCATCTCAAGTAAATTTGTATCGGTCATAGCGTTCCATGCGCATTCATTTCATCCACCTACTGTACTGACGTATCTTAGAGAAGGAACATGAGCAACCCTCATAGCGGTGATCACATTCGATTACCATGATCCTTATTCATCTGTAATTGTGGAAGTGAATTGCGTTTGATGACGAATTCAAGCAATTTTTCAACTTCCCCTTTCACAACAATAAAATTAGCCTCAACAATGAAGTGGAATCATGACCAAATGATTGTTTTCATACTTGCGACCACTTCCATGTATAATATTTCAGCGGTTGAAGGCTCTATCGAAAGCTTTCGCTGAATCATACGCCATTATTCGAGAGCTGCGGCACGAAATTGCTCGCGTTGAATCAATCTACAAGAGAGTTGCGGAGGAGAATATCGATGTGCGAACGGAGCTGGATAAAGTGACTCAATCTGAGTTGAACTGCAGTGAACGAATGCCTGATGAAATGGACACAGAAGTAAGTTCGATGCGTTT